TCCCCGTCCGAAATAGGGTTAATGTGTATATGAAGAGTTGCAGATGCCAAACATACCCAGATCTAAGACTGCAGTTCCCAGCGCCGCTGCAACGTTTTTAAAACAAACATACATAGGACATACAAACATGTACATAGGATACATAGGATACATAGGATGACAGGCGAATAACAGCTCACGCAAGGAGCGGAGCTCCGCCCCGTCCAAAGTGGCCAACAAAGCAGAGACAGAGGCAGCATCACATCTTCCATCAAAGAACTGGTTTCTGGCTTGGAAGATGAGCTCCATCTTTGCATCCGAGTCGGTGCTGTCAGGAATCAGCTGGTCTAATGGAGTGAGAGTAGTGAGACGACTAGCTATTGTATCAGAGCTGCCTGGTCTTCGTAGCATTTGCACCGATTCTTCTCGATCGGACTCTGAATTCTGTCCCTCCTGCGTATTACTTGAGGCATTGCTATGTAGCTAAGTCTTTGCAGAGTTTCATTACCCATGCTTTGCAAACAGTGCCATAACAACACAGTTAATTAATCACCAAGCTTCTTTGCAAGTTCCAATACAGTTGAATCGCACGCGATTTGAGTGCAAAAATCAAGAGAAGTGCCAACTTGTTCCCGTAAAATATTTTGAATATTGACCTAAAAAAATGAGTAATTTCCAGATAAAATAACAGCGAAATCAGTTTTCGCTTGCCAATAAAACTCACAGATATTGAAGCTCCATTATTAAAGGAACATTTTAGTATATGCCATTCTTGATAAAACTTCTTAGCCACGCAATACCAGCGCAAAATAAAGAGACACTGAAAACACGACCAATCACTCCGATTTACCATAGGAAAATACATAGAAAATGTATGTCTCAACTGCGCCAAATATACAGACAGTTATATACCTACATGTGACGTCATGATTAGCCCGACCAATCAGAAGCAAGTTGTTTTCAGCCACAAATAATTAATTTCTGAATTAACTAGGCATTTTTTTAACAATGTGATTTTAAATTAAATCATTAAAAATTCTGAGCTTTTTTATTTTACCAAAACATACAGAGCATGCAGATAGGTCCCAACCCTATTGTCTTGTGTTGCTTTTCGAAATTCGATTGGTTGGGCATATTTTGCACAAGGTATGACTTGTATTAGTAATTAATTTTTATTCACCGTGGAGTGTGGATTGTCTGGTAAAAGTTATTTATATACACTGTGGTAAAAGTATAAAGCATTTCAATTTCACTCTTGCGACTTGAGCAGTTCCAGACCCAGTTGCAATAGTATCTATGACCGTGAGCTGCACTTTTAAGTTAACACAAGGCCAAGCCGGCCCAAGGCAGCCATGAGCCAATATCTGCCATATGAACCCCCACAATAAACGTGACCTTGATTAGTTTCAACCTTGGCGCCGGCGGAGAAGGTGTAAGCCAGCGCTACCCCGTTACCCAACAATTTATGTTGATAATTATAATTTCTGTTGAGTGTGAATATCAGTTGGGCAAACTACGGGGAGGTAATCACGAACTTGATTAATCAAGTTCATGATTATGACGTCATGAAAATGGGGCGTGGCATGACCATATAAGGAGTTGTAATCAAGATTTTGATTACTTTTCGTGCACCGAACTATTCAAGTGTTTCGTTTCGATTGTTATAATGTCCATATCGACACGATTTTTTACCAGGTGAAACGCAATATTCTATTCTCCCGAAATGATATGGACCGGTAGCAGTGGGATATGTACTTTAGCTCATATGGCGAAAGATAAACTGCTAGCCTAACTTTTTCAGAAAAGTGATATTTTTTAAAGCCCTTTTTAGGCGGATATTATTCTTTTATCCACATTTTTACGTTTCTAATTTAAAAATAAATCATTGAACATTCATTTTACACACGTCTTAAATTGGTCGTAATAAAGATTTCTTCGAAAAGGCACCGTCGCCTATTAGCACGCCGCCATTTGTCGTGTTGTCGGTGTGTGGGTGAGGCCGGAAATTGGCGCCGAATTATTGGTAATTTGGTTCTTATAGGTAAAATTAGCATTTTTTAAATAATTTAGATCATGTTTGTAAATTTGAATAGCCTCAACCTTCATGTGCGTCGGTATAAATGTTGAAATATCGCGATAGAATTTATGATGATTTTGTAGGCTATCATGGCGCATGCTTTCCGCGGTATAATATTTTAATTATTTACGAAATGTATTGCTATTTACAGGGTTATAGTTTATTTTAAAGTAAATAATAGGCCTATTTTGTTGTTTGGGGCAATTGTTGATTAGAGAGGCACATTTAACTGCCCACAGTAGCTAGAAATGTTATGGCCTGGCAGGTTGTGCGAAAGTTTGCAGTGTGGCCATATCATTTATTCAGTCAATTGTCTGTGCAAGCAGGGACCAATAGGATATATCTTCTAGTTTTTAATGAAAAGTTAAATTTGGGCTTATGCTAAGTTATTCATACTTGCATTCTAAGTGGCTTTGTCATGGATTCATAGAACAATAATAGAAGTGGTGACTGCAAATGTGTCTGTTTTTCCACAGCTCATCAAAGCACCACCTCCTCGCTGTAGCAGTGGGCGTCGCCGTCACCACAGTATTGTTCAGGAAGCTCGTGATAATGGTACCTATGGTCTCACGTTGAGGAACGCTCAATCAAAAAATGATATGATGAATTTCTTTGGAATTAAGCGGACTAAGTACAGCTACATTTGTATTATGTGCATCGCTCATGCAAGACAGCAGGCCAGGATGCAGGGACACACAGCTGCAGGTATGTATGAATTGTTTTTGCAATAGATGGTTGTAGTGTTTTGTTTTGTTGCTGGTGTGTCACGTTCAGTTTTGTGCATCACGTTCAGACACTACAGTGGTCCAGTCCAGTGTACATTTTGCACACTCAAGCTGGGCATGCTGAAAATAATTCGCTGGAGCTCCTTTAGTGTAATCTCATGAAGTTGCCTGGCACAACTTGAGAACTTTGCGAGCTCACATGACTCATCCCCAGTTTTGTCCTGACACAGCCCAATCTAATCCTTTTTCAAGATACAGGCATTGTCTAATGTTTTCAAAACAATTTATTCTAATCTAAATGCAGAAACTTCTTCACTAATGCATGTGTAATTTGTACCTACATTTTCCAAACTGCTGAGTCTGAGGCATTGTACATTATTTTCACATCATGTGCCAAAATGTAGTACCTATCAGTGCCCTGCGCCAACTCATCAGGTCCATGTCTTGTCTTGTTTGCCTTGTTACATCCGCCTACCTCTCCTCCATCATTTCTTCCTTCCATCTTTCCTTGCTTCCTTCCTCACTCCCTCCCCTCTCCTCTCCTCTCCTCTCCTCGTGTCTCCTCTCCTCTCTCCCCTCCCCTCCCCTCCCTCCCTCCCTCTCTCCCTCCCTCCCTCCCTCTCTCTCTCTCTCTCTCTCTCTCTCTCTCTCTCTCTCTCTCTCTCCCCTTTACTCTTTCCCTCCTTCTCTCCTATTCTTTCTCCTCCATTTTCTCCCACGCAATGTTAAGTGTACCTATAATTTGGTTATGAACATTTTGCAGGGGATGAGCTGGAGAACCTGCATCGCATTCTCCAAGAGACGACGGAAGCCAACGGAGGCCCGCAAAACTTTCCATCCCATAATCGTGAATGGAGAGCTGGGCGGGGAAGACGCGGTATTCGTCGAGGCCCAGGAGGTGGTATCGGCGCCACCAGACCAAGCATTCCTGCTGTGGCAGGCCACCTTTTGGATTTTTAACATCAAAACTCCTAAAGACATGGTCAATCTGAATTGGTTTCTGAGAACCAAAGTGTTTGGTGGGGTGAAGGCCGATGTGCCGCCATCAGCGGCGGCCATTGCGACCGTGAAGCAAGTGGAGTGAGATCCCCGTAGAGCATGCCGCTGCGGGGTGTCGGAAGCGTTTGCCAATTCTTTGAGCCTTCCACTGGCAGGACTATAAATACACATTTCTTGAAATATATCTTTGATCTGTGCTTGGTTACACGGGCTCTGGGTTGTGACGCTATTCGTCCAATATATGTAGTCGACGGTCGTATGCAGATTATCATTTGAGCTGACTTATGGTCAGGCCGCTTATCGCGGACAGCGGTGTTCTTGCTCGGGGTGGTCTTTTTTCAGCTCCGTGTTCGGCAATGTGAGCGAGCAAGCGCGAGAAGAGGTGTGCTCGTGCACAAGTTCACATGTGTGTGCCACATCCCTAACTCGTCTAAAGCTTACAGCTATTGAGTCTCTAGCCACCCACCAAAATTGAAAAACAATCGGTGACGCCGTTCCGGAGATACAGAAATAAGGTGCGCGTGTGCAAATATATCCTATCCCCGATTCGTCCAAAGCTTATAGCTAATCCGCTTCCAGCCACACACAAAATTTGAACAGGCTCGGTCAAGTCATTCATGAGAAACATTAACTGCAACATAAATTCCATCCCACCAAAACTGATTGATTTTGTCTATTATATACACCATTACCATTGTATCTTTTAATTAGCTGCATTGTTCAACGGTCGCCAGTAGCACGATCAGCGCGATCAAAATCGTGATTAGCCAGCTGAATGCGAAATCAAGATCATGATTAGCCAGCTGGCTGCGTAATCAAGAAGTTGATCATCGGACTCCCGGGACGACGCCTCGTAATCAAGTTGTTGATTACGTTTTGGTTGCAATCTACCGCCTCACGATTTTCAACTTGAATCATTCAAAGATTACACTTGTAGAGTGACTTCTTCTCTATCGGTCTTAAAATTTTCGTGCATCTCCGTAGACCCTGAATCGAGATTCGGCCGTTTTCGTGACGGGCTGCAAACATGACCAAATATGGGCATAAAATAATCATGAACTTGATTAATCAAGTTCTTGATTACCTCCCCGTAGTTTGCCCAACTGATATAAGAACCAAGAACTAAGAAGTCCTTTCCAAATCTGCAGGTTCCTGAAACATGATTAATTTTTAATGTTTTTTCCATATATTAATCAATTGTCTACCTTTATTTATTTCAGGCACCATGCAGTAAATACCTCTGGAGGCACTGAAGTCCACTCTACCTGCTGCTTTTCATCTCATTGAAGCTACCTGCTACCCACAACCCAGTAAGTGTTTTGGTTCCTCTTGTTGCCACTCTTGTCCTCCATCCTCCCCAAATGGCAATCAAATCTTCCTCCAAGGTGGCGCCATATGCTTTTGACTATTCACGTGGCGAGGTATGGATGGGACACATCCTAAAACTGCTCTACCGCTTGGTGGGAATGTTCTCTGATCTGGTTTTTGGACTGGTCTACAATAATCGCACTGAGCCACTGCCACCAATCCGTGATCTGGTGCTGCTTGAGAGCACAGCCAGCCTTGCACTAAAGATTCGTCAGGGCCACCTGCGCAGTGAGGAGGTGGTGCGCTCGTTCATGGAGCGCATAGAACAGGTGAACCCAGTGCTCAACTGCGTCACTGAGCACCGGTTTGAGGCAGCGCTGGAGGAGGCACGTGCCGCCGATGCGCTGGTGGCCAGCGGCACCCGCTCTGAGGCCGACCTCGAGCGCGACATGCCCTTCCTGGGCGTGCCATTCACCGCCAAGGACTCGATCGCCATCGCCGGGATGCGGCACACGGTCGGGCTGTGGGCGCGCCGGGACGTGGTGGCCGACGAGGACGCCGAGGCGGTGCGGCTGCTGCGCCGCGCCGGCGCCATCCCGCTGGCGCACACCAACGTGCCCGAGCTATGCATGTGGTGGGAGACCTCCAACCGCATCTATGGCCGCTCGTGCAACCCGTACGTGACGAGCCGCATCACGGGCGGCAGCAGCGGCGGCGAGGCGGCGCTGCTGGCCGCCGCCGGCAGCCCGTTCGGCCTCGGCTCCGACATCGGCGGCTCCATCCGCATGCCGTGCTTCTTCAACGGCATCTTCGGCCACAAACCGACGTCGAACGTGGTGTCGAACGTGGGTCAGCTGCCTCTGGCCACCGGCGAGCTGAACACGTTCCTGGTGACGGGCCCGATGTGCCGGCACGCCGGTGACCTGCTGCCGCTGTACCGGGTCATCGCCGCGCCGGCCGCCCACCAGCTGAGCCTGGACCGGCCTGCGCGCGCCGCCCACTTGCGCTACTTCCTGGCAGAGGACGACGGCGGCTTCCCGTTGGCCAGTCCCGTACACGGCGACATCCGCGGCGCGATGCGTCGCGCCGCCCGCCTGCTGGAGGCCGCCCACGGCGTGCGCGTGCGACCGCTCCGACTGCGGTCCATGTTCCACCAGCTGGAGATCTGGGCGCACAAGATGGCCGCCGTGACGGAGGCGCCGCCGTTCGCGGCCGAGCTGCGCGAGCGTCGCGGCGCCATCCGGCCTGGCTGGGAGCTGATCAAGTGGTGCCTGATGCTGTCGGAGCACACGCTGCCGGCCATCGTGCTGGCGCTGACCGAGCACGGCCTGTCGCCCGACTCGGAGCACGGCCGCCGCTGCCTGCGGCTCTGCGAGACGCTCAAACTCGAGCTGGAGACGGCGCTCGGCGAGGACGGCGTGCTGCTCTACCCGACCCACCCGACGCCGGCGCCCTACCACATCCAGCCGCTCTTCAAGGGCTTCAACTTCGCCTACACCTCCATCTTCAACGTGCTGGAGCTGCCTGTGACGCAGGTGCCGCTGGGCCTGGGCTCGTGGGGCGTGCCGGTCGGCCTGCAGGTGGTAGCCGGCCGCGGCCGCGACCATCTCAGCCTGGCAGTGGCCTCCGAGCTCGAGCGGCTGGCCGGCGGCTGGGTCAGCCCGTCAAAGATCGAGTGAGTACTGAGCGGTGACATCGATCAATAACCCCTGTAGAGGGAGGATGACTCTTGAAATCTAAGGCAGTCATCAATACCAGCTTTACCAGTTTACCAGTATCTTATCACTTGGTACTCGGGATGATTCTGACCGCATTTGACCTTCATTAGCATATACCTATTAGCCAGTGCAGTCGATGAATTTTTGACAAATTGCTATTTCTATACGTACAGTCCACAGCAGAAGTAATGTGGGGTTTCGGTCATGGGTATGTTCTGCTTCTGAAGCTTAGGAACGATTAGCCAGACTACAATGAAACTTTGAATGTAGCTTATATGTATCGTCACCCTTGCAGCTGCAACTTTAGCTATTGACATCTTCTTTTCGATCACTCCGCATTAAACAATCGCCAGTCAAAGCCAACCGTTGAGATTGGTAAAACCCTACATTACTTTAGCGGTGGGCTGTACATTCGCCATTCGGATCCATTACAGTCATTGAGGAGCTGACGATTGCAATGAGTCAGTGGGCTAGTGGAATGTAGGTTAATCGCTTGGTGTCCTTATTTTACCAGTTTCTGCCATTATCTCCAGTTGTTAGTTTCCAATGTGGTGGCATGACTCGCGACATGAGGATACATCTGTTGTGAATCGGTCGGCTGGTGCTGGAGCTGGGTCACGGTAGAAAGTTGTTTAATCCTCACTCACCTGACCGCGTGCGTCACATGCATGCCGCGCGATCGCCGGACTGTTGCTTAAATACGTGTTTGAGAATTTATGATTGTTAACACGTTTTAATCTGCAGTGGTGCTTTCAACATGTCAGCGTCCTATAGCAATGCCATGACAGTTGATTGATAAATGCCTTGCTATTACAGCTTGTAGCATCTTTGTTGCGTAGTTGGACTGTTGGTGCAGTTGATTATGCCAGAATGAACAACTCATCAGGGCCTTGTGAGTACGGTTCACGATGTGATGCTGGTATCGGGTCTTATGTAACCGGTGTGTGGTGCGGCGTCTTGTCCAGGAATTTGTACTTGTAGCGTTAAGTAAGGGACAGGATTGTACGTTATCAGCGTGCGATGCGATTCGTGCTCATACGGGCTTAAGGTGCTTTATCGGGACGGTATAGTGTCGTTGGTACGATGTGGATAGGTGTATGGGTGCTGGAATTAACTGGAGTTTCTGGAGAGCTGGGTACATTTCACGTCAGTGGGCATGTTGTGATCCTATGTCGTAGAGCCGAGCAACGACGCTGGTTTTGTATGGAGATAATTTTTGGTGTGTAGCTTTCGATGGATAGTTTTTCTGCGCTGTGGTTCAGCTGTCATGGTGCTTCCACATTATACGTAGTGTGCATCACCCCGTGCCTCTTGTCGGTCCGCGGAGGCGGCGATGGATGGTGGATTGAAAGCGTTTTGTCTCGTGGTGACTACCGACTTGCGTCGTGTGCTAGACTTGAGCTCAACTCTGCTACCTTTACTACGCTAGGCACCAGATTGCAAACGGGCCTCAGCTAAATCGTTGCCAGTTTTCAACTATGCTCTGCTATGGAACCGTTGTAATCCATCGCTGCATTACCTGAACTGAGTGTGCGTATCTACCATATATGCACCTCCACCGTGACCTGCCAGTCTGTTTTGATCTGCTAAATAACGCGCTGATTTATTTTGTTCAATAAATGAAGCCAGAATGACGCTCTTTACAGATCGGCTCGGTAAAAGCTTTTGCCTTTGGTTCACTGCTTTATAGAAGTCTTAACATTATCGAAATGAACTACGCCTGTGCCACACTGATATAGATCATACTTAGGTGCCAATTTCGGCTTGAGACATTGCGATATAAGTTGGCTGAATATTCTGGCACGTCGGCCGGCTGTAAGTACCACATTATTTTCGTGTTCCAGACTGCGGGGTCTGGGATTTCATCGCACGCGAATTGCCCTGCTATCAGGCTCCAAGTGGCTCTATCAAATAGCGGAACACGATAAACGAGAGAGCTATCGGTGCCATATATTTTATTCTATGAATAAGTTAGACTTATTGAGCTTATTGTAGGGGGCAAAGTGTAGACCTCTTGATGTCTCGCCTCGCTAGCAGAATGAACAAAGGTTTTGAAGAATGGAGAGGGTAAGTGAAACTTGAAAGGCAAGATATGGGCTGTGACCATTTGCTTATCGCATCGCTGTTGAAAACGATCGATTCACGACTACGTTTCGCGTGGGTGCAACTGTCCTAACGAGAGACATGTGACTGGGGCCCCGCTCCACCGTCGGCGTCTGGGATCCGATAACTGTCTCGGCGCGTCTCCTTCGCCCCAGTGAGCCGTGTGTATCAGTGTGACACCGCCCTGTCGCCAGGAGTCGCCGGTTGCCATGGAGACGGCCACGCTGCGCGGGGACGCCGAGCTGCGCCGTCTGCCGGCGCACGTGCGCCACACGCTGGGTCAGATGCTGGCCACCCGCGGCGCCTGGAGGACGCTGATGGGTCGGGTGCGCCGACCGGGCACCGACACGGCACTCTTCACCGCCGAACACGTCCAGTAAGACACCGGCTCACCGAAATACTCGCCACGCGCCTGTCGATAATGCCAGATAACGCAACCAGTGAGATATCACCAGGCTCGTCTGATCGGCGACGTGAACCAGTGCCTGACTCGCTTGATTATTGTCATAGTCTTGAAAGTTCATTGCTCACATTAATGTTTCATTTTCTATATCGTCTTAGCTGCAGGTGAACATTCGCTTCTATCTAGACCATGGCTCAGGCGAGAACTTCTCAGGCACGCCATGTCGCCGCATTACGCCGCTGTGTCCCGCCTCTCCCACAGGCTTGTGGAGGCCGAGAGCGCCCGCAGCGGTCGCAGCGAGACGGACCTGGTGCTGGACGAGTGGGGCACCTGGGGCAGTCGCGAGCAGCGGCCCACCGTCGACGACCTGGTGACCCTGCTGACCGAGCTCAGTCTGTACCGGGCCGCCGACTACATCAACATCAACGTGCTCGATGGTGCGTGTCTGTGGTGGGAAGATGGGACGGTGCTCTCGTGGGTATGGGAGGGATGGAGTATGCCTCGGATGGGACCGGTTGGGTAGGTGACGCCACCGGTCGGTAACCGGTCGCCGACGGCGGCCAGGTCCGCCGGTCAGGTCAGGTCCCGCCGGCCGCCGCCGCCAGCTGAGCGGACCGGTTACCGGTCTGATCAGGCTATCCGGTGGCGACATCTGTTGGGATCCTGGAACCAACTGCTGTGTGGCTGTGTGTGGATGGTTAGCGAATAGTGATCCATTTCGCCAGACGAGGAGCTGCACTTCAGCTTATACTCTGCCTCGGTACTCGTAAAGTGACGTGCTCCCCGGCCTCCACCAACCACTGTATGTTTAGCTCACTATACCCCGCCCCCCCCCCTCTGCAGTGGCGCCGATGGCGCGTCCGACGCACGGTCCGGGCGCCTCTGAGCCGCTGGATGACGCCGCCATCCAGCGGCTGCTGGCCGACCAGCTGCGCCGTGAGCCGGTCACCGCCGAGCCGCCGGCGCCGGACCGGAGCGACCGGCCGGGCCTGGTCACCCAGCTGGAGATGCAGCTCGAACAGGAGAGGCTGGACAGACAGCAGGAGCGGCAGCAGCAGGAGCCGGCGGCGGCGGCGGACCCGGGCCCCGAGCCGGCCGCCGACATCAGACACTTCAGCTACTGCTACCTAGAGAAGGTAACTTTTCTACTGCAGCGGGTGGGATTCTTACTTCTCTTCAGTAGTATCATGGTGATAGACATGGCAAGTCTTTTGAAATTCATCGGACAAGCAGAACTGTGGAGGTATGTAGGAGATGTAACGCTAATCTGAATTGTGAAACGGCACGTCAGGGAATCTGCAAACTGGTCAAGCTTGTCACAGCCAATCACTTGTCACGTCGCCATATATCGCATTTTATTTCACTCTTTCGACAACACTCCCCTCCTCTCCCCTACGCCTGCCTTATTTTCCAACCAGTAGCGGCGGAACACCTTCAATTAAGGGGGTGGGGACACTGCCGACTTTTGGTCCCATTCTTTCCATGCAACGCCCATAGGGTTAATGTTTTAATGCCAAAATCAAGGGGGGGGGGCACGGTGCCCCGGTGCCCTCCCCGTTCCGCCACCTATGTTTCCAACCCGTACTCTCGTCCCCGCAGATTACTAACGAGTTTGACGACGGCCCGGTGTCGGCGGGCGGCTGTCGGCTGGGCGCCGGCGCCTACGGCACCGTCTACCTGGGCACGTGTGAGACGGCCGAGCGGCTGGCCGTCAAACGGCTGCTCATGGACGCCGAGCCCGTGCGCCGACAGTTCCGCACAGAGGTCGAGGTCATGTCGAGGTCAGTCGCCACTCGGCCGAGAGGGTGGCAGCGGCGATGATGGAAGTTATCGTAGATGGGTGGCTCATAAAATCGCCCGTCTTCTACGGCGTCTGATGGTTTTGTTGTGCACTCAAATGGTTGACTCCTCAATTCTTCATACACAAACTCTGCACAAAGAAATGACTCAAGAACTGAAGTCAAGCGTCACATACACATACACCTATACACACAGAGCCGGTCGGGGTCTTTCCGCCGTCGGTGCCGCTACCCTGTGCTCCCTAGCGCGCCGCGGTCACAGCGCCCCTCCGGTTCCCTCCTCGCTGAATGCTTGGTTGCAAAGGTCTTTGTGGAGGTAGAAGAATATGTATCCGTTTCTCTGGTGTCCCTCGCCCAAAACTTCGGCCTCGTCGACGCAGCTGACTCGGCGATCGTCATAATGGTACCATCGGTCCCTGTCGACGCTGTATACGTCCGACACGTAGTGTCCGGAGTGCGTGTTGCCGCCGTGGTGGCTGACGACGCTCACCAGTCGGTAGGTAAAGTCGCCGGCCAGGTCCGTTGAGCAGAGAGACTGGTCGTCTTCCACGCAGGACTTCGGGAAATGTACCTGCTCCGAGGCGTCGGCCGGCGCTCCCTCCTCCAGCGACCTCATCATGGCTTCCTTGAGCTCGCGGTCTTCGCGGGTCCGCGCCGGATTGGACTCGGGGTCGGCGTCCTGCGCTACCAGCTCGGCCTGCGCTGGCGGCAACGGCGGTGGCTCGGCACCGGTCGCTGACATGGGCCGCGGCGCCGCGGCTCCGGCCGTCACCGGCGAGCCGACGGCGGCAGACTCTGGCAGGCCGGCGGTGGCGGCCGGTACTGGAGACGGTCCCCGGGCGGTGGCCGGCGGCGACGGACCCGAGCTGGGCGCCTCAGACTCCTCGAACTCGGGGAGGGTGCATCGGGAAGGCTTTGAGCACTTCCACTCGGGAGGCCGGGTGACGTCGTCCGCGACATACTCGTTTAGCGAAAGGAACTTCGGAATGTCAACATTGGCACGGATTTTTATCGATTTTCCTCCAAGGAAGGCGTACCGGTTGAGCTGGAGTATCAGCGTCCTGGGCAGCTGGCTTATTTTGGTGGTGACGCGGCACTCGTCATGGCGGCAGTGCTGACAGAGCAGCTCGCGCCGGTCAGGCCGCATGCACAGCCGCAGTGCGTCCAGCAGCGTGGGCGCCTCTGTGCCCTGGTGGCGCGGCACGCTGACAAACCAGCTGATGTTCTCTTGTTGTTTCAGTACCGTTTCATGACACTTGGTGCACATGTAGCTCTCGATGGTCTGGTACTGAAAGTTGTCTCGCACCGGGTTGTCGGTCGGCCGCTGCGCGTCGATCTCTTCCTTCAGGGTGTCTAGCAGGCGCAGCAAGAACTCGTTGGCGTCCTGCATCTCGATGCCTCGGAACGCCGGATCAATTTCGGCGAACACGTCGCGTAGGTCGTTAAGATGGCTAAAGACTGATTTGCTAAGCGCCTTCTGGCGCAGCACCATCAGTTTGGCGACGGCGCGCAGCGTGCGACACTGGTCGCTCACGCCCGGGTCCGAGATCAGGGAGACCATCTCACTAAGGAACGGTCGCAGGCCCAGCAGCGACTGCAGGGTGGCGTTCTGATAGCAGGAGTTCCCGTAGTTGGGTAGGCCGATATGCAGAGGGTCCTTGCCGTCCTTGTCGGAGTCTAGGGGCCGGATGGTCGGGATCAGCTGCAGGTCGCGGCTGACCGTCTGCGCCTTACCGCAGTGCAGCTGCAGGCTCTTCCCGCCCTCACTGGACTTGCGCAATGACGACGGCGGCCGCATCTGTTGACTGGCGGCGAACCGCGAGCCGCCGGCGTCGGCCAAGTCACCGTAGCACCGACGTGAGCCGGCGCTGGCCACCTGCAGCCGCTCCAAGTTTTCCTTGTCGGCGCGGTCCGGGCAGCTGGACGCCCGCTCAACCGATCGCGACGGTCGCGGACGCCTGGCCTTGGGCGGATGCGGCGAGCCGCCCCCTCGTCGGGAGACATCGCTGAGCCAGCGCGGCGACGGCAACTCGTTCTCGCGCGCCCGCAGAGGAGACGAGCTCCGCCGCGGCGAGGAGCGCCATCGTGAGCCGCTGTCGTCGTTCTGGTAGCTCTTGCCGCTGCTGTAGCTCGACGTGGGCGTCGGCACGGAGGCAGGCGCGCCGCCGGCCAACGACTTGGCCGCCTCCGCTGCGGGGCTGGTCGCCAGCGCAACGGCTGGTGGCTTCACACTGGCTGTGTTGGTAGTTGTATTCACCTGTTGCGGCAGTAGTCCAGATGTTAGTAGGACAGAGGTGGCGTTTCCCCGCATCACGGCAATTGACAGCCGTTGCCAGAGCCATTCTGTCTCCCGTTTGTCTCCCGACGCAGCGGTCAAACGCGCACCAAGCTCTCGGATCAGGGTTCTGGTTCCAGGGCCGCAGGCACCGCCGGTCTCAAACGCAACCGGTTCGAAACGATAGCGCTGAGCAAGATCGGCGTACTTGTACCGTTTCCTGACCTCGGCATCCCGTGCTGCTTGGCCAGCAGCTACAGCAGCTGACGCAATGTTGCAGTCGGCGAACGTGCTGACACACGTTGCGTCCCACACTAGAGACATGCCGCCGGAGAACGGGTAGAGCGTCATGCCATCTGGGCGCTTTCCGTCCCCACGGTCCAGACCGATGGGCTCGAGTAGAGCAGGGATGTTGGCTGAGAGCAGAGCTCGCCTGAGCACGTCGTTCAGTGCTGTGTGTCTGGGATGCCTTCCAGCACTGTAGCGACAGGTCAGTGAGTGATAGCCCAGGCCATCTGCCAGTGAGCCGCATCTGCAGCGATGAGGGCTACACACTGCGGCTCCCACACGCAAAGCGATCGAGATCCGCAGCGTCTCGTTATTCAGTAGCGTACCGATGGTGGCTGACGGTATGGCACGCAGCCAGGCTCCACTTTCAGGAGTTGCTGCACTCAGCATTCGAGCACGGGCAAATTGATTTGCCTGCGAGAGCAGGGAGTCACGATGACGCTCGGCTAAGGGAGAATCCCATGCTCTCTGATGGTTTTTGGCCTCACCATCTGGAGCCGATCTGTCCCCGGCTTTGCTCTGCCAGACCTCTGTCACTTTTGCTCGTTCTTGCATGACAGAGGCGGTGCATGCGGTTGGCAGCAGTGCACAAATGTTCAGCTGACTGCGGTGCAGTGAGGCCACGTAACTAGGCAGAGCTACATCTTCTGTTCGCCTGAGCCCAATACCGCCATACCTGACTGGTAAGACCGCCTGTTCCCAACTGGCATCATCAAATCTGACATTGGTCAGGCCAGCCAGTGAAGACTTGAGCTTCTTGTCGATCATCTGCAGCAGGTCAGGCTGTTCATACAGGGGGGCGGCTCTAAGAAGATACTGCAATTTCGGCAGCCAAAGACAGTTGCAGAGCAGAAAGAAGGCGCTGTGTGCGTCAAGGTGGTGGAGACGCTCTATCATGAGGTCCAGTTCCTCCATTTTCTTCGCCATAACTGCTCGGGCAGCAGTGTCCGTGATGGGAGCCCCGAGAACCGTCAGCTCGGCGTCGGTCACAACGGGGGCGCGCGGGAGCAGCTGGTGGATCTTGCCTACCGCTGAGACCCTCTGCTCGTCTGTGGCAGTTGAAGGTAGGATAATCTCACACTTAGCCGGATTTATGTCGAGACCAATAGAGGTGGCAATAGAGGTGGCCGAGACCAATAGAGGTTATGTCGAGACCGGCTAGAGGTGGCCCGCCGGCGTCTGATTGTCCGCTACGTTACGCAGCTCTTGGTTGTGAAAGGCTCTGCCGGTTCAGTTGCAGACGCTCGAATCTGCAGGTTCCGCTAGTTTCCGTGTGACTTCCGTGATGTCTCAGACACTTCTCAGTACTCTGCTGGCTCCCCGTGTGAACCCCGTGCTGCCCTCAGTTTCAGACACGCGAACCTGCTGGAGCTGCTGGGGTTCTCGTGTGACGGCGCCCACAACTGCCTAGTGTTCAGCTACATGTCCAACGGCTCGCTGCAGGATCGGCTGGCCTGCAAGGTGAGACCAGACCGTCTGAGCATGTTTGAATATCACTGTTTGAATATCATACCCTAATCTGTCTGTCTTCAATATTTACTTACACCGTGCATTGGGGATCATTATGACATAGCTTGTTACAATTAATTGATCAAACTGGATTAATTGCCAACACTTTATTTGTGACATTTATTCTTTGAGAAAGGCGTTTTGAAATGATAAACCTAGATTCTTCTTCACACGACAACAACTTATCCATCCATGACCCTCCTCCACACGAAGGATAATATCCTGGTCCCCAATACGAGGCAACACCACTGTCGCCATGTATTGCTTATGCCACTCTTCTGTCGGAGCACCGGACCAACCCGCTGGCTGCGGCAGGACAGGACGGGACGGGCTGGGGGGCAATGCTTGTGGTTTGGCCTCTGACGGTAAACGGCCGGCCATTGGCCTTGTTTTACCACAATCAGAATGTCAAACGGTGGCCGGGCAGTGAGGTATCGAATGTCAATTCTGTCGCTCAACCGCGGGGTTAGTCAGGTGGACCTAGTTGGCATATGGCAACTTATGAAAACTGGTTGAATCTGACGTTTGTTTGCTGTTTGTGTTTAATGCAAATGCTACAAGTGTATTTGAACAAGTGCATGTGAACAACAAGCGACCTTCATTTTCTCATTTTGGACATTTTTTTTTACTGCAAGACAATTACTATACCAGTTACAACGAAGCACCATCTGGCATCCAACCCAAATAATAACTCCTGTCCATTCTTTTACCATGTGAAATAGTCTTCAGCCATCACTGCTTGTTCTGTCGTTGTATTAGCGCCCTCTGGAGCGTGCGTGCCGCTGCCCGTCGTACACTCCTACCAGCCTCCACCGCCTAGTCTCACAGCGCTGTCCTCCGTTCCAGGGTAACAGCACTCCCTCGCCGCGATCACTGCGATTTTACCCCGCTGTCCTCCGTTCCAGGGTAACAGCGCGCCGTTGCCGTGGGCCCGCCGGCTAGAGGTGGCCGTGGGCACGGCACGCGGCGTGGTCCACCTTCACACCAGTCGGGAACGACCGCTCATCCACCGAGATATAAAATCGGCCAACATCCTGCTGGATGACGATTTCACCGCCAAGGTGGGTCACGAAGTCGCCGACAGGATAGGTGAATCATGAGAGGGTATTCATGTCGAGGGCGACTGGAGGGGAGGCTCTCGAGGTCGGCAAATTAACGTAGGGTGAGCTCATTGCATGGGTGAGTGATTGTTTATTTAGTTATCAGAATAGGATGATAGTGGCAAAGCCAGTTCCAATAGAGGCAGGTGAAATTGCCCTCACAATCAAACAGTTCTTTGTAGGGAACATTTTTCCGACACTCCGTCTGTATCTCGCCACCAAACATTCACTTGTTTTTTTTTTCTTCACCTGAAATGTATTTTTTTTTCACCTCGATGAACGCTCCTCACCAGCCCCTCCCCTGGGCCGCTGTCAGGTGGGCGACTTTGGTCTGGCGCGCGAGGTGAACGGAGGCCGCAGCACCTCCACCCTGCTGACCAGCACCGTGCTCGGCACGTCCGCCTACATGCCGCCAGAGGCCTTCAGGGGCGACGTCTCCGTCAAGCTGGACACCTTCAGCTTCGGCATCGTGAGTATCGAATGTGACAGGTGTCATAGATGGAAGCTGGCAGACGCACGCAGGGAATTTATGACATCAGCTGTGAACGAGCATCATGCAAGGATCTGCTCGAGGACACAGGCCTGTTATCCATTGGATGAAAGCCTGAGCTGATATATATATAGCCTCTGTTTTAAAACCCGCGCCCTGAAGGGGGGGGGGCATTTTGGCCCCCCATGTGGTTTTTCTTAAATAGCGAGAAAACGGCGGCGCGCAGCGCCGCCAAATTTTAGGTACATTCCCGGGCATCAATTTGACACCTTCATACAAAATTTCAAGTCACAGGTCACCTTGGGTCAGGAGTTATTGAGGTCAAACTGAGGTCATGTTCGAGTAAAAATGAGCAAAAAACATGACATCTTGAAAAGCTCACCAAATCTACAGTTAACATGCAATTTTAAAGTTCTTTTTGTGGTTGTGTAGATAAAAGACAGCGCTATAAAACTGCTATCTCGGATTTTCGAAATTTTGTGATTTATACCAAAAAAAATGAAAAAAATGATTTTTTTTTAAAGAAAAAAACTTTAAAAAATAAAAAAAAATCGAATTTCGGAAAAAACGGAATATATGTGATAGTCCCTGCGCTCTTCGATATACATACCAAATTTGAGATCGATACCTCCTTTTTGGCCAAGTTCTAGCGAAAAAAAAACTGTTCAAAAATGATGACGTCAAACTTTTGAGCTCAATTTTTAGCAATTCTAGACCACCTAGCGCAAAACGGAGACCACCATTGAACTCCCCGTGACGAGCTGCATCGAATCGATACCAATTTTATGCAAAAATATCAACTTTGAAATTTGACCTAATTTGACCTGACCTTGACCTGACTTTGACCTGACCTTCACCAAAACATAATTTCAACTGACCCCAAGGGCTGCCTGTCCTACATAATTGCATTTGGCATATAAAATGGACCATAAAACATGCATCACATGATATTTTTAATTTGTGACCCTCAGTGACCTGACCTCTGTGACCTGACCTGGTATCAGTGACCTAAAATAGCAAAATATGTGTTTGACGAACATTTCCCCATCGATGATTTTCAATGAAATGCATTTTACTCGATTTTACTACGCATTTCTTGAAATGCCTGTAAACGGTGAAAATTCGACCTTTGACCTGACCTGTGACGTCATCGGTTAGACCGAGGTCAATGAAATTAGGTCACAAGGTAGTTCCCCGTTGGGGCTATCCAACGCCGTTTGCCGCTTGTCGCTATGTTGCGTGGCCCTCGAGATCTTGGGGGGGGGGGGCAAAATGCCCCCCCCCCATCAGACCGCGTTGCTCGGCAGATCCCATCAGGGCGCGGGTTTACTGTGAATTCTTATGGCCAACGGAAGCGAACTCCAGTATCCGATGTGCGTTACTTTTGTCTTTTATCATCATTTATCTGGTAATTACTTTGAAAAAGGAGCATTCAGACTGAACAAACGATACACTGAAATCTGTGACAGAAACTGGCCAGGCAGCTATTGGTGCAGCACTGTCCGCCCCACGTGACTCACCCAGCGAGCCCAATATGCCATTGTGCCATTGCATTCAGTGTATGATACAAAAGGTTATAGACGTGGTTGGAGGCAGCAGCTGGCTGCCCACACAGGCTGCCCCTCGCCCGTCAGTCTATTCCGCCCACCGCCCGCCGGTCACGTGACACGACTCCTCCCCCGCCCACTGCCCGTCGCCGGTCACTACGCGGAGTCACGTGATGTAACCCCTCTGCCCACCCACTCACTGCCCGTCGCCGGTCACTGCGCGCAGTCACATGATGTCCTCTCCGCCCACCCCCATTCCCCTACCCTGCGACAACCCTGTGGCACGGAACCCGACAGACGAGATGTATGTATATACTGTCATGGTCAGATTATTTAATCCGTGAGTGATGTTAACCCGCGCACCGACGGGGGGGGGGCGGATATCCGCCCCCCCCCTGAGGTTTTTCGCGAATAGCGGGAAAACGCGCCGCGAAATTTGGTATGACTATAATCTCATCAATTTTACACATGGTGTGCAAGTTTGAACCTCCTACCTTTTAAGGTCAGGTCACCAGGTCACTTTGAATGACCCAACCTCAAGTCACTTTTTTGAAACTTTGTCACCGTGCCAGAGCTACAGTAGATGTTGGAGGCCTTTGAAAGTCGCAGGATATTATTAGGTCATTAGTAGCTACAATTTGTATATCTCGGAATTTTGATATCGGTGACCTAAGGTCAGGTCAATTTTGCGACCTCCCCATTATAAGTCAATGGGGGAAAAATCAACTCCCTGTTTTTACCACTAAAACGGGTCGGAATGGCCCCATATACCATACATGACTTCATATACGATCAACCTTCACTACCTTGAGGTCTGTTTTGCTGTTGGGCAGCTGTGAGGTCATGTGACGTCATCAAAGGTCACCAAAGGTTTTTGGCCAATAACTCCGTACAGGAACAAGATACAGACGCGTGGATGGTCTCATTGTGTTCAGCTCGTCAAGACGCATCGAATGATATACATGATGACCTCGAGGTCACGTGACCTGAGGTCAACCTTTGACCTTGACCTTTCGAGGTCAACATACATATCATTCGATGCGGATTGACGAGAGGATCACGATGATGCCCTTAGTTTGTTCCTATCTTAACTAATTCGAAAGTTATTCGAGAAAAACTCTCTCCATATCTAGCGCCGCCATTTTGACTTTTTCGACCCCTGTGACGTCATCTTTGACCTGACCTGAAAATGATCTTAGTAAAAATTGTAGATCTTGGCCGTGCGTATCCGATGCCGTTTACCGCTTGTCGCTATCTTGCTTCGTTCTCGAGATCTCAGGGGGGGGGGGGCGGTCATCCGCCCCCCCCCCCCGTCGGTGCGAAGTTGGCGCAGACCCCCGTCGGTGCGCGGGTTAATATCGAGACAATCCCAACAATCGTTTTCTGAAACTGACTATAGGTATATGCGCTTTTATGTGTAAGTCTGCTTTTTTAGCGTTTCGTCAATTTTCATTCGAAATAGGGACATCATCCACGACGAGAGCTAATTAAGGGTTGGTCATACTAGGCACTTCTATTAAAAACTGCAACGCACCTCTCATTGCGTACCGTGGTTGCTGTCATTTTCTGATATGCACTTTGACCTTCATTTGCACTTTGTGACCCCACAGTGAATGCGTAAGGCTGCTAAATGTGACGTCAGTGTGGTAAGGTGACGTCTGACGTCAATGTTACTGTTCGCACGTGGGCTATACTACCTTTTAATGCAATTAATTCTATTTTCAGTTAGTTGGCTATCTCTTGATGATTTCACGTTCATAATACACTTAACCCTCGCCGGCACAGGGGGGGGGGGGTTGATGCAACCCCCCCTAAGGTTTTTCGCGAATAACTCGCGTAAAAAGCGGCCGATCGCGACGAAACTTTCATTACCCTCGCATTGATCAATTTTACACCTCCCCTGAAAATTTCATGACCCTGACCCCAATGACCTTTGACCTGTGACCTCTTTTCCGTGACCATGTTTGGCTGAAATCGCGATTCGGCGTATGTCGGCTCGCATTAGCCGCGCGTTTGCAAGCTTTTCGTGGTTTCAAACGTTCAAACATGTGATTTGATGTTGCTCCCATACATTAGGGTGGGTGTCAAGGTCACCTGAAGGTCAGGTCAGGTCATTGACCTTTGGTGACCTCGGGTGACCTCGGTTCACTTTTTCGAGTTTTACATGTTTCTAGGCTAGTTTTTGGAGCTGAATTCGAATTTAGCAACCATTTGAACATTTACGAAGTAGTTTTGGTGCCTTCGTAACATGTTACGAAGCTGTCAGAGGCGGTTGACACGTATTACGAATACCCGTCACAGCCCCTACCGGTTGACCTGACCTGACCTGACCCGACCTGGTCTAAATGCCTAAAGACATCATCTCTGATCAAAACTAACACGATATTCGTGATCAGCACCCCGGAAATCACACAACAGCCACACTTTACGACTTTCTAACAGGTCCCGATTTTCCCGGTTTTCGGGTCATTGACCTGACCTGGAAGGTCACCCGATGACCTAGGACCTTAAAATTGGGTATCATCGGCTTCCTCTCGTGACGGGCAACACGCTCGTTTTTTACGCGAAGCTCTAGCTCGATCAGGGGCCAAACGCGATGGGGGGGGGGGTCGTACCAACCCCCCCCCCTTGTGCCGTCGAAGGACGCAAAATGGCCTGTGCCGGCGAGGGTTAACATCCATGCGTCAACCTGCTTTGATTGTCTAGTTATGTATTGGTAGCTTATGCATCGCAATCGCGTCATCCTCGCTGCATCTTCAGGCTTTTTGTTTTATTGACTACTACAGAGTCTACTCGGCTTATGTTCTCAAATGCAGACTCATAGATCCCAACACTGACCATGGACTATGTAGCCGATTCTTCGATTACCAAACAATGACCAGTCAGTCTTCTCTAAACGGTATAAACCCGATAACAGCAAAAACTAAAACACGTGTGAAACGGTCCCCATGGAAATGGTCCTGGAAGACCGTGTGAAACGGTCATCGCTGATGACATTTACCTACAGTTTTTGTTTTGTTCATGAATTATCGTTTTCAAAGAGAGTGTAGTGTTTATGTAAGTGTTTCTGTTGATGGTAAATTATAGGGTCTGTTCCAGTCGCACTTCCTTACACCTCTAAACTCCTCCAAGATTGCTTCCCTGTTCCAGTGGCAGCTCTAGCCCCTACAAAGCCAAGGAGAGTCCTGCTCCAACCTCCTCTATAATGCTCCTGGAGGAGTTTAGAGGTGTTGGGAAGTGCGACTGGAACAGGCCCATAGTCGTCATGTCGCTGTTTTAATGGTATCTACGTACTGCGGCTGGCTGGTGCTTGTTTTGCATGTCGAATTTAGTGGACACAGTCTGTCAACCTTGCGGCTAGGAAACGATTTGGTGACGTGAAGGGAGAAAACAAAATACCTACTTGGGGCAATTAACCAGTGCCCAGAGTTA